GTGGTCAGATCGCTGCCGAGATAGAGAGTTGGCAAAAGCGTGCGGATGCTCTCTCCGGCACCGCAAACAGCTCTACGGGGGAGATTCAACGTCTGGAGGAACGTTTTCAAGAAATGCTATCAACGCGCGATGATAGCGCAGCGGCGGACCACCAGGTGGTGGGGGACGTCTCCAGCGAAGTGGCCGAGATTCGCAAAACAATTACTAGTCTTTCGCCGCGTGTCCAGGGTGTGCGCGAGGCGACCAATTCACTGAGCGCCACTTTGCATGTCCTGGTTGGACGGATCAAAGATTATTCGGAGTTGGCGCCCACTGTGGAGAAACAGCTCAGTTCTTCTGAGGCCAATGCGTTAAAGTTAGTGGGTTCGGAGCCGATGGATTCCTTGGAGGCCCTGGAAACGATCCTAGGCGAGTGTAGTGCCCTTTTGGCAGAACGCAACTCCACGGCTTCTCAAGCATTCGGAAAGATGCAAGCCCTGAGTCAGTACTTTTCCAATCTACCTCAAATTTTGGTGAGTTTAGTCTGTTTATGGGTGCACATGTGACTGAGTAAATAGGCGGACTTTTTTTTTACCGTCAAACTGTTAAGAAATAAACTTTCAAGTATGACGTAAATTTTCATTGCAAACCATGAACGGCGAAACAACTGAACAGCTAGTTTTGCGTGCTTACGTAAAATTTCGTTTCTGGAAAGAACTGACAAAAAAGAGCCATACTCATTAGTCTAAAATAGCTTTCCCCTATTGAAATATAGCCTTACTTAATTACTCATAACTACGCTATTAGAAAAGTTCACCAACTCGTTTTTATGGATATGAACTTGTTTTTTCATACTTTTAAGATTCCTTAGGCAATTAGTATGCATTTGCCATGACAGGGCTCGTTATTAACTTTTGAAATTAGCATGAAAATAAAATCACAGTTTCAGACGTATCCTGCTTCGGATATATGGTAAAATTTGCCAAGCATTCTCGAAGCTCCATCAAAAACCGAAGCATTAAGCTCTATAACCTAGAAAACGATTCAAATCTCTTTCTTTCGCGAGCTTTTTCATGAGTTATTTTCCTCATATGTGGAGCAATTTCTGCAGACTTTTACGGCTTTATGTATTACGCTTTCAGTACCATCACCAGCGTCCGTTGGTTTACAATTACATGCCTTCTGTTTTTCCACTTTTAAAGAATGTTTTCTGGTCACTTTTTTTCACAACGCAGGCCGCGAACTCCGAACTGCTTAGACGCTGGGAATTGAGCGGTGATTGGCTGGAGGCACAAAACTCGCTCCTGACAATGCTCGCCTCTGATTGGCGCACATGGAGCGCCGACATGGCCAAGCTCTCTGAGCTCGTGAGCCAATTAAAATCCGAGGTGGAGGCGG